TCATGTCATTTAAAATAGAATAAAATTCTACTATGTATTGATATCTGAATGCTTTAAGGATGGAAATAGAGTTAAGTTCATTAGGGAAGTTAGAGGAAGTGTTTAAACATGTCACAGATGGTTAAATGTCATGTAGTCCTCAGGATTCCTGAGGACTTGACAGAATTTTTCTCCTAAAACTCAAATTTGCCAAAATTATGGTGTAGTCCTGCAGGAATCCTCAGGAATCCTCAGGAATCCTCAGGAATCCTGAGAGTCCTGCAGGAATCAGTGGGGGACTGATAAGTACTGCCAAACTCCCTCTCTGTTTATCGTCCATCTCTCATCTCCCTTGTGGGGTGGTTGATTGCGGCGACAGGGTTTTCAAATCATCCGCGGACGAGAATTACGGTGGAGAAGCGTTTGTGGAATGCGAGGTAGCCGACATAGCCTCACTGAGGAGAGAAACGAGGGTTGTAAGTGAAAAAGTAGCTAAACGAATACGGATGGATACGCACTGCTGCTACAGACCCATCCCGTATCGAATATCCCTCGTGTGGTGGACTTTCCAAAGCCTTTACCAGCTTAGTAGCTTGTGCGTGAGCGTGATCTCTCAATTCCTCTGTTAGGTTGACAATCAAGGAGCAATTGCCAATGACAGATTGAGCTCACCTCAGCGAGTGTCGAACACAGCTTGAGTTTCACATGTCAACAAAAATTTGAGTGTAAATTCGAGGCAAGCGAACGGTAGGTAATGTGCGAGCTGGTGGTCGAGGACAAAAACAAATTCGTGTTGACCAACGTTTGTTTTCTTCCACCATCGTCAACGATGTACTCAAGAACCTGCACTATCGACGAATCGCATCAGCTCGTCAAGCGAGCAAGGTCATGAAGTAAGTATCTTATTCTTTTGATTCAATAATCAGGTCTAACTTACGGTGATTACCATCTTAGCACGCAGCGGATTCGGAGTCAACGACTGCATCAGGCCTCGAAGATTGGCGTCACCTTGATTTGGAGACGTACAGTTGATACGCTGAAAACGTTGAGAATCGAAAGAAGTGGTCTTTTTGAGGTGTGTACGCCATCATTGTCTCTCACAACGTCAACTAAACCTCGGTACTCAGACGTCCAATGCTCAAATACAACAGAAGGGCTATCGTATATCCTTTGCGATGTTTTACCCTTGTTCTCAACCAAGGCAGGAGCGTACCCCCCTTCTCCTTCCCTATCTCATACACAACCCCACGTTCTTCCTGAGCTACGGATGCTTCTCTTGGGATAAAGACGCTCCGCTCGCGCGGCGGCGTTTTCCGCTTTGTTTGGCTCACGTTCCTGGAGGGTCTTTTCGACCCTTTTTGGACCCTGTTTGTTCCTGCCTCACCAACACTGGTCACATGACAAGATAATTTGTGTTGGAATACTCTAAAAATATCTTTTGGAAGTTCCTTATTTTTTCCCTGTTTTCCAAAAAATGTCAGAATTGGAATGTTTGGCGGTGTATGTGGCGAAATGTTTGGCGGAATGTTTGGCGGCTACATCGGTCCTGCATCACCGGTTAGGAAGACAAGACGTCCACCCACTACTTACTTACCCTCGACGACCTCCCACAAGCACCCCAGCACACACGGACGACGACAGCAACAACCCGGGATTGCCATGTCACAAAACTAGCGCGTGGCCGTGTGGGTAGTGGAGATGATGTGGCAGATGTGCCACGTCGTCCAGACAGTGACAACGCATGCTGTCTTCGCTGTCCAGGTCGTTCAGGTAAGTGCCTACCAATGTTTCCCATGCCCCTCTCACTCCAGATGCAGAGGCCACGTCGCTGTCAGCAACCTGGCAACATACAAACGATGCGGCATGACGAAAACATGATGCCACAGCACGACGACAACACGGAACGAGCCCACATGCCCACGAACAACACAAGTGAGAGTGCCGCGCATGAACAGCAGCCCGCCCACCCACGAATGACGTCCACCGCCGGCGAACGAGCCCTACACCCACAAACAAATGACGAGCGCCCAGGACACGACGACCCCTGCCCACGAATGCAAACGACTGCCCACAAACGAAGACGACCACCCACAAACGTGAGCAGACACGGGCCCAGGTGAGCTCCCCCTGGCATTTCTCTTTATTTTCTAATTATTAACTACTCCATCTCTAGCAACCTGTCGAAACGAGCACAAAGAGCAGGCGTGAAAGGGCATGTTGAGGATAGCCACAATGAGAGGGTGGGTATGCAAGGTGCGCCCGCAAACTCTCCCCTTCTTTCCACCGACTGACCATCACAACAGCACCACGACCCAAGAACCCACCATGTATCATTCCCCACAACGTCGACTTCCACCAACGGACCTCGCCTCGCAGACCAACCCTGCCTATGCTGTCAAAATCCTGGGATGAAGTTGCCATTCCCCTGATCTTCCGATCCTCGCAAGGACGCACAGCAGTGTCAATTGACACTTGCACTGCCCTTGCGAGGTTCATTGGTCATTTATGGAGGCCTCCCGCAGGTTGGGGTACCCCTGGGATTTTATAAATCCACTACCCATACCCGCAAAAACCCACACCCGTGGACACGGGTACAAGTTCTGACAGGTATGGGTACAACCCTGGGAATACCCCGGGGTTAGCCATGACAATCCCTACGAAAATGTCATAAGAACGCTAAGGGAGATCTCTTGAAGCACGGTTTCCGGCCATACAGATCGCCACACAGATCGCCACACATGATCGCCATACTTTCCAATGCTGACATGCCCTCCTGTTTTCTACCAAGAAATATGTAATACATCTATAAAGATTCTTTTCAATGAATGAAGGTCAAATATTGATAAAATATGTTGGAAAACATGTAGGACATATTGAGATACATGTATAGACAATTCAAATTAACCCAATATCTTTCAAGTAAGTTTCTATATATTTTTAACATGTTTTATAAGTA